ATTATAAGCAAAGTCTATCTAGTTTACTAAACAACACCATTGACGTACTCAACACAAAAAAAGAAAAGCAAACCTACACCCACTTTTTCTTCTCGATGACTCACATCTCTAGGAACAATATTCTTCACCACTAAGGACTAAAATCTAACTGAGGGGAGAAAATGAAACCCAGAAAATTGATTGATAATAATATTATTAACCTTCTCAGAGAAGGAACTCTGCGGCGGCGCTTATCCTCGGAAGAACCGCCGCCATCGTGTCGAGGTTTGGGATCCTCTTGTGGTTGCCGCTTCATCGACATTTTCGTAGTCTGTAAAAGGGAATGAAAGCAGCAATTCCACGCTTAATAAAACTCTAAAATCTGAAGCTACGTGGCGGCGGCACCGAACGGGAAGATGATAACCATGGAGTAATGGTATTTGTATTGGTGGTTGAGGAGACAAAAAGACCAACATGCGTTAGCCGATGAAGAATAAGAATACTCTAATTCTTTTTAGACCTAGTTCAGGAGACCCTCTATATATATATGTGTGTAGAGAGAGTTTATGTGGGGATAACTGATAAGTATGGTATGGCATACAAAGATAATACTAGTGACAAAGAGAAATGAATGAGTAAACTCCAAAAAAAACAGTGATCCTACTTGGGGTTTATCTGTATGCCAAAATTTTGGCAGGGCGTGGCAGATGTGTGGATACACAGCGATTTTACTAATGTTTTATATGTTGTTTCTTTCTGGGATTGAGGTGAAAAAGATTAATAACTGACTGTAGAAGAAAGTAGGCTGTGAAACGGAAGCAAAGGATCAAAATACTGGCCTCCGGCGAGGAAGAGGTGCTTTTGGGGGCAGGGTTGTTTTGGAGAGCGACAGAGTGGGGGCACTTGAAAACGCGTGGGCCAACAGTTCGTACTTAGAAGCCTGCGTTATTTACGTTATAAACCAAAATTATTATAAACCAAAATTTATTATACTCCTATTTATTATAAACCAAAATTATTTTAAAATATTATTTTTATAATTATCTTTTATATTTTATAGCAAAATAAGTATTTATGATATATACTATAATTGAGACATGAAATAAGACATGAAATACGTTATTTATATTTTTTCCTCTCTCTTTCTTTCAATTAACGCACGATTCTCTCTCATAATTTTTCTTCTTTCTTCCTCTCTTTCTTTTCTCTCTCTCCGAGCAAAATAGGTCGAATTATGGATACACGAAAGAGAAACAATTCATGAAATAAAGCCTAAAAATTTCAAAACCAGAAACATGAAAGTAAACCTATAATAAAAAATAAAATAAAAAAAGCGGAGATGCTTTGGGAGTTAGAAAGATTGAAAAGAAAGAGAAATTCTTAGCGCGATAAGTAAGAGAGAAAAGAGAGGAAGAAGCGGGCGAATTGGAAGCGTTGTAAATTGTAATGGAAGAGGTAGTGAAGCGATACAAGGAATCTTGACCGGCAAACGCCATCTCCGACGAACTTTCTTCTCTTCTTTGCTATTTAATCACATACAATGATACAAATGCATTGTATTATGTACAAATTCACTCAAACACATTGTATTTTTGTATAAATATTTTTTTTTGCCTATGTTTATGTATTTCGAAGGTTTGTATTTTTTTAATACAGTTGAATACACTTGTATTCATGCATAATATGCATACAGTATGCATGAATAAAGGTTATAAACATTGAAATACATTGAATACATATATTAAAATAGAACAGAATATAAATAGTGAATACATTTAATTTTAAAATACAGTGAAATACACTGAATACAAATAGAAATATGGTGAATACAACCAATGAAATATACTAAATACAACAGTAATAACATGTATTAGGAATAACTAAAATACATTTAATACAAATACATTTGAATATACTGAATATAAAATAGTGAATACAGTAAATACAAACATTGAATCTAATGAATGCAACGGTAAAAAATATATTGAAAAACACTAAATACAAAGTAATATACAACTGAAAAATCATTCTAATTAATTGGGTTGATAGTGAGACATGTTAGAATTGATTTTGTTGAGTTATATTAGGAGTGTTTCACGCTAATTGATATGATTTCCGTTATTAGACAGCTAGACATACATATTTTTAAGGTGATTGCCATTGTTGTATTCATGAATATAGCAGCGCGAATACATGTGAATACATGCGCGTACAGCTGGACTGCCCTGATTTTTAGGCATTTTTTGCTGCTGTATTCATGAATACAGCAGCGCGAATACATGCGCGTATAGCTGGACTGCCTTGATTCTAGGCGTTTTTTGCTATTGTATTCATGAATACGTGGCACGAATACATGCGCGTACAACTGGACTGCCCAGATTTTTAGGCGCTCTTTGCTGCTGTATTCTGAATACAGCAGCACGAATACAGCGAATACACTACCGTAACAACTGAATAGTAGCTATAGAAAGTAATTATATATATGGTAACTATAAGAAGTTAATATCCACTAAACAATAGTGGTTTCTGAAAATTCCTATTATACTGTGTCAATATCCATAAAAAAATATGGGCTACGCTTGCACTATTGGGCTAGTAGTATTCCACCTCACTATTTTAGGTAATGACTCGATAACTATGGTGTTTGGAGTTTATCAAATTTTTGAAAAATTTCGAAATTCAACTTCAAGTGAAACTTAAAATTTTTATGGACAAACATTGATTTCGAAAAAAGCAAAATTTTTTTGAAAAAAATAAAAAATTTCTTATGACAAAACGGGCCTTAATACCGCTTTGAATTCGTATTAGAAAATTCGTTTTTGAAAAATAAATCGCTATTTACCAAAGATAATTTTATTCATATATCTCAAACTCATGACTTCTTAATGGGAAATTCTACTTTGAAAGATAAATCACTATTTACCAAAAATAATTACATCTACATAATTCATACTCGAGATCTCTAATTAAGAATAAATAAATAAATAAATAAATAAATAAATAAATAAATAAATATTTACTACCTTTATGCAATCTTTAATGATATAATTTTTAGTATATGTTATACCTGTGGTCATGCGAAGGCCGTACTAAATATTCGTTCGTTGTCAATTTGGAGTTGCTTTTATTTATTTTTTCTGGTTAGTACAACTAACGACAAATTAGAGTAGTTAGGCACCACTTATATTCATATTGGATTTAATTTAATTTAAAGTTTGGTTTACATTGTTTGCAAGCGTAGAGAAAGACTTATCTGGGCAGTACGAATAATGTATTTCTCGTATACTTTGACATTGTTAATTGGGGATGTATTTTTGTATATTCTATGTATCGTTAATCAAGTGGGTGGAGTATTTTTTTTATTCCCTAATTGCAAAGTTCGAATAGTACATAAAAAGTCTGCAAGATACATTCCGTCTTGGAACATCTTTCTGACGTGCAAATTAAGGAAGAAAATTTAGACAACACAACCTGATTCAGTAATCTCCCTAATTTTATACTCCAAGTCACAGAGGACAGTTTTTTTAAAAACATGTTTTTAACAAATTTAATTTACTAATTTTTAATTCGAAAGCATGCCTGTTAACTGTTATACTCATTTCTATAAGGTGGACTATTCAAGTATATACTGCACATGCAGTACAAATGTGTAAGAAGTGAAAATATTCATCATAGTATTAAAATTTGTCAGTAATATGACATTAAAAAAAGTTATTGGTCGAGCTCGCCCAAGACGCAGCGAGGTCAATGACCGAGGTGCCGACATGAGTCGTGGTCAAGATATCGACAGAGATCGTAGTCAAGATGTCAATAATAGTCGAGGTTGAGATTGACTATTAATGATAAGGTATATAACGGCTAATTTATTAGGGTAGGGTACTAAAATGGAATATTCTAGTGGATATTTTCTGCATTTGTACTATTAGAATTTTCTTGGAAAAAGCATCATATATAAATATAAAGAAGAGACAATTATATGGGCATGTAATATTGATTCTCATAAGAACACTTTTGAGAAGATGACTCTTTCTCTTGCAAAAATACAAAGATTACCTTTTTACAAAGATTCTTGTTCATATATTATTCTCCACCTTTCCATCAAATCCGAGAATTGTTCATGCGAATATTGGATCTATCTGTCATTCATCATTGTCATGAAAAATATTCGTCTCATACATCTATTATTGGGTGAATCATCCTCCTTATTTACTCAAATAACATTTATTGATATTTATTGTTAGCTTTATCACCCTTAATGTTCTTGCTTTAAGAGTATTTTACATTTATTGTCATCAACCATATACGGAATGTGTCCCATCTACTATACATTTTTGTGCTTAATATCTAGAGTTATTATCCTTAGTTAGATTTGACCACGTACTACGTAAATTTAATAGTTTAACCAGAGATTATATTTTTTGATCAAACAATTTGGCCCTGTTTGTGGGAATTTTCTAGCTAAGTCTTTTAGTTTCTTCTAGATCTACTACCGGCACTGGTTGCTGACGTAAAAAAAAAAAAAGAAAAAGGAAAACGATAAGACGAACCTTTTTTTCTCCCTGCATGCACGGATCTAAAATGTCAGGTAACAGAGAAGAAAGAACAAGAATAATGAGTGACCTCCTAACCAACCTCATGGATATCATCCACGAGAGCTCTGAAGTAGTGGACGAGGACACAACGCCCAATGCCTCCCCTAGGCGAGGTGGAAAACCCCCTCCCTACCGCAGTATCACAAAATTCCTTGGCAATACAGCCTCCACATCCATGGGAGAGGAGACACCGCCAGCGATAAAGAAACTCCTTGAGGCCTAGCTAACTGATACACTAACCAGTGTCCTCCATCAACTCGTTTAGGACGTGGCCGCATCAAATGCGAGAACCTGTGTTGCACCACCAGTGAACGAGCAACATGATCAATATCCCCCCACCCGCGATGACAGGTATCACTCACAATGTTGTTAACAATACAGGCGATGACGCTCTCACAACCATTCTGAAAAGGATGAAGGAAATGGAAAATGAGAACAAGGCACTTTCAGGATCAAATGAGAGAGCACCAAGAAAGGGTCGATAAACTACAGGGCGCTCCTAAGTTATTGCCGAAGAGAGATGACAGTCGGTTCGTCAAGCAGCCGTATAGTGATAGTGCTTCCCCACATACCATACCGAAGACTTTCAAAATGTCGCCTTACCTGAAAATATACGATGGTACGACTGACCCCGAAGATCATGTGACACACTATGTCATCGCTGTGAAAGGCAATGACCTCGCCAAAAAACAAGTATCCTCCATTCCGCTGAAGAAATTCAGCGAAACCCTCACGGGAGGGGCATTAAGTTGGTACTCGCAACTACTAGCTCTTTCCATCGAAACCTTCGAGGAAATGGCCGATAAGTTCGTGACGGCCCATGTCGGGGCCAAGAAGACCGAGGCAAGGGTGAATGATATTTTTGCTATCAAACAGTCCCTGAGAGAAGGACCGAGGGGCTTCCTCGCCCGTTTCAACCAAGTGAGAATGACTTTGCCCAATGTATCAGAAGGAATGGCGATAGCCGTTTTTCAAAACGGGCTGAACAGAAATGGTTCAAAAGTGACAAGAAAATTATTAAGTCGGGTTATGAAATACCCCACGACAACTTGGGACGAAATACATAATGCATATTGTGCCGAAGTTCGAGCAGACGAAGGCGACCTCAATGGGCCGACTCATCGGATGACCTCAGTACAAGTAGAATCCAGAAAAGATCGGAGAAGTGATGTAAGAAGAGATCCAGCGGCCTCACGGCCAAATTGGGAACGACATCTCCCATATGTCAAAACTACCGCTATATCCTTACCTCGTCATGAAGAAGGACCACCCCGATCAAGAACAGAGACTCACTGGAATGAAATATGTATGCCCCCTTTACTATTCGCTCACAATTTTTGCGTGTCACCTACAGAGATCGTCTACGCCTTGGAGAAGCTCGGACCAAAGGTTAAGTGGCCACAAAAGATAAGGTCGGACCCAAATACCAGAAAATCAGACACGCTCTACGAGTTCCATCAAGAGCGAGGACACAAAATCGAAGATTTCATCTCCCTAAGATAGGAGGTCATAAACATGATGCGACAGGGACACCTCAAAGAATTGCTGAGTGATCGAGGAAGGACCAACTTTGCCAGGGGACGCGAACAACATCAAGTCCCGCTGAAACCGCCCTCTCCAGCCCGCACCATCCACATGATCATCGGTGGTGGAGACGACGCTTCCATCAATAGCTTGAAGTTCACCACGTCCCACAAGCTCAAACGGTCGATCACCCACGAACGCTATGATGAACTCGAAGAAAGTATCATCTTCGATAAGTCAGACACCAATGGTTTTGCATTCCCTCACTATGACGCTCTTGTTATTACTTTACAAATTTTGGATACCGACGTAAGACAAATTATGGTAGATGACGGGAGCAGCGCATGTATTATCCATCCCCGAGTACTCACACAAATGAAACTCGAGGACAAGATAGTTCTACACTGCATCACACTAATAGGATTTAACAATGCAGTTGAACGAACATCTGGCGAGATCACACTTCCTGTCGTGGCGGGTGGCGTTGCTCTAGAGACCATATTCCATATCATGGACCAGGACACGGGATACAACGCCATAATAGGGAGACCGTGGATACACTCCATGAGAGCTATACCTTCCATCTTGTACCAAGTCATCAAATTATCAACTCCATGGGGCATATTCAACATACGCGGGGAACACCGCACATCCCAAGAGTGCTACCGCATTACCCTAGACTGCACGGCCACCCAACAAATGAGAGATAAAGAGAAGGAAGCATAGCAATCAACAGGATCGGGGTCGGTAGGCGATGACATCAAGGACGTCATCAGAGACCCCGATGTGGACGAGGCCGCAAGATCGACCATAGAGGACCTCGACCCCATTCCCCTAGACGTCAACGACCACAGCAAGAAAGCTTACATCGGCTGCAAACTCCAAGAACCAGGTAAGTTTGGCAAATTTTTAATTGCTAACGTGGACTTGTTTGATTTTAGCCATGCAGATATGCCAGGTATCCCAAAGGAGATCGCCACACACAGATTGAACGTCGATCCACTCTACC